TAAAAACAGGAAATAATCATAGTTAATTTTTTGGTTGCTGAGACAAAATATTCAACACCCCAAAGTTAAAAGAAGGAAGATTTATTTTAGTCATAGTTTTAGAAGTTTCAATCTATAATCGATTGTCTCCATGGCAAGGTGGCATGGCAGCAGGATACCACAGAAGAGAAGCAGTTTATGACAGTGAAAACAGGAGGCAGCAGGTAGGCTGAAGCAGGCTGTACACAGTGGCAAGACCAGCATCCCTTCCTCTCCAAAGTACAAATCCTTACATTATCTTCACCCAGAACTATGGTAAACCAAATAGTGGATTTATCCAGTGTCACAGCACCCTTAATACCAGTACCACAGCCTAGATCCAGCTACATTGAAAAGCTGCACCTATGAACCCATGAGGCTTTAGGGGACATCTGTATACAAGCTGTAGAAGTTTCTTTGACATAACTATACCTGCCCTGAATGTCAGAAATACTAAAGTCAGAAATACTAAAGTCATCAATCTGTGGTGATACATTCATTCACATGTTGGTAGTTGCTCAAGTCACAAAGGCTACTCTGAAAAAAGTCTAGCTGTTCATCAATAGATACATAGATAAAGCAAATGTGGCATATCTACACAATGGTATATCATTAGACATAAAGATGAAATCACATCATTGGCAAGCAAACAGATCGAATTAGAGATCATCATGTTAAACAAAATAAACCATACTCAAAAACTTAAACATATCATGTTTTCCCTTTTACTAGGAACCTAAAATATTAAGTAAACAAACAAATTAAATAAGATATGATGGGAAAGTAGACAAGAGATTCCTGGAGATGAGGAAAGAATGGCTGAGGGAGGACAGTGGTTGTGTGGCATAATGGGTTGCAAATGATCACAATCTGTCCTGTGTGTGTGTTTATTCCTCAAAAGGAACATCACTAACTTTGCATAGTCATAAAGGCTAAACTAAATTAGAAAAAAAAGTAAAATAAATGTTTTAAATGTCGCACCCTGGGCTGGGGATGTAGCTTAGTGGTAGAGAGCTTGCTTCCCAAGCCCAAGATCCTGGGTTTCCTGTCCACTACCAGAGACTGTAACGAGAATAATGATAGTAGTTTCTTTCTTTTTTTTTAAAATTTTATTTAAGGAGAAAAAGAAAAAAGCAGAAAAAGGGTACAAGTTATACAGAATTTCAGAAAAAAAATAAACAGTAGGAAATCACTAGTTAATGGATTATATACTGTCATCTTAGAAATATTTGTTTAAGTTACAAAATTAAAGCTTATACAGTGGACATTCAAACAGTGAGACCAAACAGTTCTGCTCAATGATCCAACAAAACTCAGTAATATCATTGTCTATCTTATACATATAAATATACATGCAGTTATATCGTTTAGAGCACTTTCTTTTACTCTCTTTTGTACAATGACTATTACACATTTTGGGTTTTATTGCTCCCACAGTTCTTATTACTTTTTTTGGAAGAGAGTAAAACCAAATGTGACATAACATAACAGAGTCGGTCAAATCAAAAGGATGGACATAATAGATAATGTAAAAACGTAATACAAGGTGATCAACAATGGTTACCATAATGCCTCTTGCTATCTCTAATAGAGTTGCCTATATCATCAGTTATAATAAAATTGAACGAAACAGTAAAGAACGAAACCAACAAAACCAAAACATTGGAGAAATTACAGGTCTTCAAATGTAAATAATAGTCAATCAGAATGGGCATCATAATGAATCCCACTATTTTCACAGCTGTTGCCTAAACTTTTGAACCTGGTACTATCAAGCAAAACAGAATAGAAGAACATCAGTCAAAACAAGATGGTGAGAGAAATACAGGGCTTCAAATCAAGTTAATAGAAAATCAAAGTGAGTTACTATAATATATCCTGCTATTTTTACTTATTTTTCCCTTAATTAAAAGGATAAAAATAAAAAAGTAAATAATAAAAGGGAGATCGAGATAAAAGAGGGCATAACAACAAAACAGTACAGATCAAAACATAACCATGTAAGCAAAATAGTGTTTTACCACAAGATCATCCCGACATAAAAGTAGTTACCATATTGTCTCTTTCCTGGAAATCTTTGAGTATAATTTCCTATACTGTAGCATCAAATATATCAAGGCAATGTAAAACCATTCAATGGAATGACAGTATTACAGGATATTTAGAATCAACTAACAGAAAATGAACAATGGTTTCTGTATAATCTCCTTTTATATAAGTTTTTGTTTATACTACCACATATAATAAGATCCAATAAGATACAACATGTTAAGACCGATGGAGACAGAAGAACAAAAGCTTGATGAGACTTCAAAACAAGATGATACTAAATCAGCATTACTTATTATGATGTCGTTTTCTCTAAAATAGCTGTTCCTATCATCAAATCTTCTCTGCCTCATTTCTATTGAGCTCTTTTTCTGTCATTAGTTGTCAGTTTGTCTTCTTCATTTTATTTTCTGCTCCATCTATTGTGGCCTCTCTGCCACTATTTCTGGATTCTTCATATTTTTCTTTTTTAGAATAGCCTGTAGTATTCTCTGTAGAGTTGAATTGGTGGTTGCATATTCCCCTAGTTCCTCTTTATCCTGGAAGCACCTTGTTTTTCCATCAATTTCCAGGGATAGTTGTGCAGGATATATCAATCTTGGCTGGAGGTTATTATCTTTCAAAGCTTGAATTATTTCCCCCAACGCTCTTCATGATTTGATGGTTTGTTTCGAGAAGTCTGCTGTAATTCTGATGGGTGTTCCCTTGTAAGTGATCTGTTTCTTGTCTCTGATGGCTTTTAATATTCTGTTCGTATATTGGATTTCTGAAAGTTTGATTATTATATGCCTGGGTGTACCTCTGTTTGGGTTGTAGGTGGCTGCGGTCCTGTATTCTTCATACATCTGAGTATCTTTACCTTTTGCTAAATTAGGAAAATTCTCCTGGATTATTTCTGCGAGTAGCTTTTGTAGTTCCTTTGTTTGTGTCCCTACCTCTCCTTTTATGTTCTTAATTCTTAAGTTATAGATCTTCTTATCATCTTCTAGTCTTTGTATTATTGTTGTTTGTTTCTTTGTTATTTTTAAGAAGTTTTTCATTTCATGCTCCCATATTACAAATCTGGCCTCCAGTTCAGATAATCTGTCCTTAGTTTCGTTCAAGCTGTTATGCCAGCTTTCGATAGAGTTTTTAGTTTCCTGGTAATCTCTTTGAACCTGCTTCACGTATTCTATGCTTTCTCTATTTTCTCCATCAAACAATTCTTCCCTCTTTTTCTGTTCTTCCATTCCACCATCTGTTTTTTCTTGGGTGGTGCTTAGCATTTCTCTAACTATTCTGCTTATGTCTAGCTTCAGGTCATTAATAACTTCATTCCTGAACTCGTCTATAAGGCTCTGGAGATAGTGCTTTATGTCTATTGGTGCTGTGTCTGCTATTGCCTGTTTCTCAGGGTTGGGGATGAGGGGCCTTTCTTGTTGCTCCCTCTTCCCATATTCTTTGTTCCTTATATATGCAACCGTATATAGGAGGCCCAGCTTCCTTCCCTGTTGGCCACAGTCTGTTTCAATTGCACCGGCTAGGTGTTCCCGCCCACCACAGCACACCAGGGAGTTACAGACTGAGCAGCCTATGCGGGGCCCACCCCTCCAGGTCACCTTCAGGCACTGGGACCTGGGTTGTGCTAGCGTACCGGGTCTTAGCCAGCAGCATCACCTAAGCTAGGCACTGCTCACCACTCCTGCTTTTGAGGGGGATATGTGACTGAAGTCACTACAGTGCCCTGTTCAGCAAGTCTACCCAGTCTGAAAATGTCCTCTGTTGGAGCCTCTAGACTAAGGAAGAGTCCCAGTTTCCCTCACTCACTGCAGGTCGATGTACAGCTCCCCGCCTGTCCTGCTCTCAACTCCATTCACCGACTCCCGTTCTCAGAGCTTTCGTGCATCTCTCTTCCTGCCGAGCCGATTCAGACGCAGCCGTGGTGGCAGGAAACCCAAATCATGGCTTCCACTGGCGAGGGCTCCAGCTTCCACGCTTAGGCTTTATCTGTCCTGTTATAGCACCACGATTGCATTCCCAGTTGGTTTCTCTCAGCTCAGTTCATTCTTGGGTCAGCAGGGCGTATCTCCTCTTGCTTAGGATTCCTCACTACGCACCATTCCTGGATTCTAAGCTGGGTCTTTCAGAAAGATTCCATAGCTGCTGCTATCTGTCCAGCATGTTCTCCCGGAAGTCATGATAGTGGTTTCTTAAAGGTAGCCATAAATTCACGAACAGACATTCATGGAGAACGAATGCATTGGAAATAAGGAATTTGCTCCGTTCATTTACAAATAACTTCCAGGACAAGGGAGACAATTACAACTTAGGACTTATATGACAGTAAAAAATGCTCCCACACAGATAATTAAAGAAATTAAACCAGAAAGGGAAATACCATCTTGCATTTGTGAATCAGTAGTATGCACTGTCCTAAATTGTAAACTACATTGTCAACAACCATGAGCAACCATATGTCTTGAACAAACAAGATAAACCTGACTATTCTATCTTTATATGCAGGGACAAAATGAGAAAAGTCTTCTTCAATAAGACCACAGTGATATGGATGGAAGTTCACGATGAGGAAACATTCACACAAGATCACATTCTCAAAGGAAATAGTTGCAAAGTTGGAACATGCAGATGCGGAGAGATCAATCAGGATGGGCCTTGTGGTAAACACACCCTTGATCTCACACAGGGAAAGCAGAAGTAAGGAAGTCAGGTGATTCTTGGGCTCCAGGACAATGAGGAAGAAAACACATGTAGATCCTCAAGAAACTGAGTGCTGCATGGGGCAAGTAAGAGCCTGAAATCCAGCAAACAAATAAACACATCCCCGCAAAAAGTGCTGTACACATCAGTGACTCAGTGAATGAGGGCTCAGAGAGACCCCTGGGCAGGTATATAAGGCTCCCAGGCAAGAGGAGCCACATCTACACACCTCCCTCTCCACCTGCTCCTCTCACCTCTCCACCTCCATCACCAGAACCATGACCTGCTGTGGCTGTTCCGGAGGCTGTGGTTCCAGCTGTGGGGGCTGTGGCTCCAGCTGCTGCTGTGTGCCTGTGTGCTGCTGCAAGCCTGTGTGCTGCTGTGTGCCAGCCTGTTCCTGCTCTAGCTGTAGCAAAGGGGGTTGTGGCTCTTGTGGCTGCTCTAAGGGTGGCTGTTCCTCCTGTGTGTGCTCCAAGGGTGGCTGTGGCTCTTGTGGCTGCTCCAAGGGTGGCTGTGGTTCCTGTGGCTGCTCCAAGGGTGGCTGTGGTTCCTGTGGCTGCTCCAAGGGTGGCTGTGGTTCTTGTGGGTGCTCCAAGGGGGGCTGTGGCTCCTGTGGGTGCTCCAAGGGGGGCTGTGGCTCTTGCGGCTGTTCCAAGGGGGGCTGTGGCTCCTGTGGGTGCTCCAAGGGGGGTTGTGGCTCCTGTGGGGGCTGTAAGAGCAGCTGCTGCCAGTCCAGCTGCTGCAAACCCTGCTGCTGCCAGTCCAGCTGCTGCAAGCCCTGCTGCTGCCAGTCCAGCTGCTGCCAGCCCTGCTGCTGCCAGTCCAGCTGCTGCCAGCCCTGCTGCTGCCAGTCCAGCTGCTGCCAGCCCTGCTGCTGCAAGCCCTGCTGCAGCCAGTCCAGCTGCTGCCAGCCCTGCTGTTGCAAGCCCTGCTGCTGCCAGTCCAGCTGCTGTGGCCCTGTGTGCTGCCAGTGTAAGATCTGAGCTTCTAAGCTTAGATGAGCCAGCCACAATTCAAGGCTAACCCTCTGTGTTGGATGAACCCAGCTGTGCCTCCCACTTCCTAAGTAGAGCCCGTGCACTCACGTAATGTCTCCTCTCAGGCTCTCCTCCCAAGTCACCCTCTGGCTCAATTGGCATGCTGTTTCACTCAGCAGCCTGAGCAATGAACACCTTCTATCCTGCCTTTGGGTCTAGGAGAACCCTTCCGTTGGAGTCCCCTTTGGAAAGATGTGGGGTAAAGATTTGCTGGAACTTTCTGTGGGCTATACACTATTGTCTCTTAACCTGAATGTTGCAAACCAATAAAACCACACGACCACAAACCAAGGCATGTGTCTTGCTCATTTCTTTTTTTTTTAAAGATTTTATTCAAAGAGAAATAAAAGCAAAACAGAAGAATGGTAGAAATAAAACAGGAAGAAATCATTACTTGATAGGTTACATATTGTCATCTTCGAAGTCACTGTTCAAGTTACAAAATTAAAGCATACAAAGTGGACATTTAAACAGTGAGACTGCAAACCGTTCTGTTCTATGATCCAACAAAAACTTGGTAATATGGTTATTTGTTTTACACACTTAAACATACATGCGATTATATCCGTTACAGCACTTTCTTTTCCTCCCTTTTTTATAATAACAATTACACACTTTAGGTTTTATTACTCCTACTGTTATTATTACTTTGTTTGAAGAGAATAAAACCAAATATGACAAAGCAAAATGAAATCAGTTAAAACAAGAATAGACATAGTATATGAGGTAAAAACAAAATATAAGGTGATCAACAATGGCTACTACAATGCCTCTTGCTAACCCTAACCCTAAGGGGTGGTTGTACACATAGACCTTGCTACCATATGCTCTGCAAGCCCACCGGCCTTTGGTACAGTGACCAACTCCACATCTTCATCTGTCTACCTTGAAGTGATACTGATCAGGCATTAGAACAAATCAAATGGCTTTTCTGTATTAACTGATGAGTGTGCCCCTGGCCTTGCTGGCTTTCTCAGAGAGCCAGCAGCTAGAATGTGAAAAATGGAACTCGCCACACCAATGGTCATAGTAGAGATCTATGGTGGTTGTGATACTATGGTGCCTCTAAAGGCAAGATAACACTGGAGTTGAGAGCAGTAATTCAGAACTCAGGACAATAGTGCTAAACTCAGACATCAGGTAGTTCCCTTGTTAAGCAAAGATTTACCACATGGAATGTCTTTGCTCCACTTCACAAGTCCTTGCTTACTAATATGCTGCCTCCCTCAGATGTTCCCTACACTTCCTTGAACCCCTGATGCACCTTTACCCAATCAATAGTAGGCAATAGGGGAAGGCTTTGTCTAACCACAAGAGCTCTGACCTCCTGGACTCCTGACAAACATACTCCACTCTCTCGTTTATTTTAGCTTTGCCAAAAGCTCATCTGTAACTTTGGGAAACTGATCAGCTCCTGATAATTGACAGTTCTTCATTCCAATCTGCACTGCATATAAGAAATTATCAGGAAACAAAAAAACAATGGCTGATTCAAAAACTCAGGACCTTGGGGATTGCCTCTGCCAGCTCTGGCCTTCTGCTCTAAAATTAGAGCAATGTTATTTCAAAGTTCCTGGGGTTGGGGACTTAACTCAGCGGTACAAGCCCCTGCCTGGCAAACTCAAGGTTGTGAGTTCAATCCCCAGTAACAAAAACAAAACTCAACAAGTTCCCAAGAAGAAGTATTAACAGGGATAAAGCATTTCAGCTGTTTAAAAAGACAGTTTACTAGTGGGACATGCCAAAGCATGAGAATAGATATAAAAATTAAAATCCAGCTGTTTTCAGGAGCCCTGTTGGTGGTAATTAGTGAGGTTATTACTATTTGAGACTTGTACAGAGTTTTATGGGAAAAGCAAATGCGTTAGATACTTGACTCAAGCTACAGTTTGCAGGAATTTAATGAGGTTAAGAAAACTTGAATTATTTTTTTGATATCCATTTCATTTCAAAGAAGAAAAAAAGAAAAAATTTCAAAATATATCAATCGGGAGCCACAATGGTGTATACATTGCCGACTGTCATCCCAAAATCATTCATCCAGAGCACAAGCCATCTGCATTCAATTGTTCAAACAATATCAGCACAAATCATTCTCTTCAATGAACTCAGAGACATAACTAGTATAACTATCTTAAATGTATATATTGCTTCAGTTTCTCATGCTAGCGAGACAATACAATGTTTATATATGTGAGTTTAATTTATTTCACTTATTAATATGCTCTTAAGTTGCATTCATTGACCTATACAAGTCTCCAGTTTATCCATCTTTATGGCTGAGTAGTACTCCATCATATAAAAATATCAAATCTTTGAAAATTTAAATTCTTGAATTATACCTATCTCTATGTCATAATGACATAGTTTACTGCTTTTTTAAAAAGTAGTTTCTTCCTCCTTTGAAAGATCTAGAAATAATGATCTACCTATTATCAATAAAATCTCCCAGCACCAAGACAGTTACCTTTAAGTATGACCTTTTTACCTAAACAGAACCTGAGAGTTCTTGAGAAATGGGGTAGACTTGAACAAGTTGAGCATGACATGTCTTGTTAGAAAGCTAGAAAGACAGCAGACACTAGTGACTTCACATCAGAAAGAAGAAGGTGTTAGACCCAAAAACCAGTTCAAAATTGCCCTGTGCAAGACAATTACTTAAATACACTGGCACACACCAAATGTGTCTCAATTTATAAGCACGTAATGCACAAAGAGTGGTGCCCATAATATGCAAAATATCGAAGTTCTCAATTGCCATGACAAGATGATGAAAATCAGGTTTTTTTTGTGAACATAAATTAGTAAAGAGAAATAATCAGGCATCTCTTCAGTCTTTAATATAGTCATCATAACTAAAAAAGAAAGGAAATGTTACAGTTTATAGGTAAAGTAGGTAAAGAAGAAATTATAAAATGAGAAATTTACCACTTTATATACCATATAGAACAATAGATTTGTCAAATTTAATGAATGTTTCCAAATCAGACCTTAGAAGAAAATTTACACCTTTAAATATATATGGTGGAAGTGGGGATATAGCTCAGAGGTGCAGCACCGAGCTGGCAAGCACAAGGTCCTGAGTTTTATTCCCAGGATTCCCCAAATATATATAGCCAAAATCCCATCTGCAAGGCTGACAGAGTTCCCCAGCAGAGCACCAAGTGAACTGATATTTGAGACCAGTTGTGGTTTTCTGGGTCTCTCACATTGTGGAGACTGGTGGGGTATACAGGAAATAGCAGAGGCCCTCTCCACAAACACCCTCAATGTCTCATATGCCATCTGATTGCTTGTCTCAGGAGATAGAAGCTTGAAATGCCCAGGGCAGCTTTCTACCCTTACTTTTTTTCCTCTGACAGTGATCACTAATGTTCCACCCAGTGGACCCAGCAAAAGTCCTTATGAGAACAGCCTCCAGGTCCCCTGCAGAGGCATCCAGGAGAGCAAGAATTAAGTCTGTGTCCCGCCTGCCGAGGTCATGCAGTTCAAGGATGGCTTGTTGGAGCGGTATAAGCAGCCTACCCTGGTTGATTCAGAAATCTACCATTCGAAGCACAGAGAATGGTGACTGTGGTTTGTTGACCAGGTGGTAGGTGGACAGAGAGTTACGGGTGCTGGAAAGCAGTTTGTGTACATTTGGCAAGACTGTTCCAGGTGGCACATTTCTGGGCAAGAAACACACACTGTGATGTTACTTGCACACTGTTTTCTAGGACTGCAGTATGGAGTCAGCCCAAGAGATACGGACCACATGGTCCTAGGCCCAGTTCCCTGTTTGTCTTTGCCCCTTAGTAGGTCCAACCAAACCAATTCCAGTTGACCTCCTTGTCCTGCATCAGCAACCAGTTCTCTCTCTCTAGCTCCAACTATTGTATTGATGCTGGCCCCAGCCTGCCAAATTCTCAGGTCAAAACCCAGGCATACTCTATTGACTCTAACCCTTAATTATCTTTAGGGCCTAATTTGCTAATCATATGACTGGTAATTTGCTTAATGACCACCTTCCTCAGCACACCGGCTCCCCAGCACACTCACCACTTACTGCTTGTTCTTTCATGCACTTTACAAACTGGACCTCCTTCTGTGATCATGTGTATCATTCAAACTTCCCCTTTGAAAGAGTTGTCAATCCATTTTCTTCAAGACAGCTATAGATTTTATTTTGGGGTAGTTTGGATAGTTTGGAGAGTTGTAAGCAAAAACAGTACTGACCCCACATATCCTGGAGCCTGCCCAAGGCAGTACTACAAAAAGTTCATCGACAATCTTTTACCCAGCATGTGGAAATTTGAAGTTTCCATCACAAGGAAGCTGCCCTAAGAAGAAACCACAGGTCCTAAGATTCCCACGCCATCCTCCCATTCCAAATGACTGAGGGGTTGTCCTTACCAGTTACTTAGTCATTTCAAGGATGCTGTATCCATTCCACAAGAACATGGCAGATAGATAACAGCAGCTATGGAGGCTCCCTGAGATAGCCAGCTTAGATTCCAGGAATGGTGCAGTGTGGGGAGTCCAAGCAGGGGGAGCAAGACATACCATGCCGACTCAGGAATGAACTAAGCTGAGAGAAAACAACTGGACATGCAAACCCAGTGCTACGACTGGAACAGCTAAATTCTCAGTGCCAAAGCTGGAAGCTGCACCTCTGCAAATTGTGGCTTGAATTTCCTGCTGCTGCTGCATCTGAATCGGCACAGCAGGGATAGCGACATGAAAGCTCTGAGAGTGGGAATTGGTGAGCTGAATTGAAAGCAGAGCTGGCAGGGAGCCCTGCATCAACCTGCAGTGAGTGAGAGGAATGGGGACCTTTGCATAGACTAGGAGGCTCCAAAAGAGGACATTCTGGGACTGGGCAGACTAGCTGGAATAGGACGCTGCAGTGACTTCAGTCACATATTCCCCTCTCAAGTGGGATTGGTAGGGAGCACTTGACCTGAGTGATGCCATAGACTAAGACCCAGTAGGCTAGCCCAAACCAGGTCCCTGTGCCTGGCAGAGCACCCTAATGCAGTGAAGCCTTCAGCAGATTGACTAACTGGGAGGGGTGGACCCAGCATATACTGCCCAGGTCTGTGTCTCCCTATTACACTGCCATGGGCGGGAACACCTAGCCAGCATGATTCAAACAAACTGTAACCGACAAACAAAGAAACCCGGCCTCCTATAAACGCTTGTATGGAAGTAACAAAAAGGATGGGAAGAGGGAGCAACAAGAAAGGGTCCTCAGTCCCCAATCCTGAGAACACTGATCCAGGAAAGGTAAATGCAAAGGAAAATGAGGACAG